AGTTTTAAGATGTGGATTCTAGACAAAGAGATTGGTAAGGCTAAAAGATAAGAATATTACTTTTTCTCTTTATTTTCTTTTAGTCAGATATCCTTGGGTCTTGGCAACAGCTATGTGTGTCTTAATGTTGCAGACCTTGATAGAGAACTAGGTATGTCATTTTGACAGGGATCTTGGTTCTAAGGGCTGGCAATTTGTTTGTGTTTTTTAAATTATTTTGGGTGTGTGCAACAGGCATTGTGGTAACGTTTATATCTATTAACTTCCTGGTGTTTTTAACTAGTGGAACATGAGGTAGGTTTGATTGGATTAATTGAATCTGGAAGACCCTCTAAGGAATTACCCCAGTTCTGTTAGTAGAGAACTCAGGGTGGGGGTAATATGGGAACTCACGCACTGCTCAAGGTTCTGAGTCAACTGATCCTCTGGTTGAAATGAAAAAGAAATAGGAAAGATTTTGTTTCTTGGCAAAAATTTATAATAGGAAAAGATGTTAATTTGGGAAACTCAGTTTCTCTTTGAGAATTTGATAATGAGAGTAAGTTCTTATTGCTCAAATCTGGAACATTGTAATATTGTTTCAGTGTTTTGATTTTTTTTTGTAATATTTACTTTGACATTTGATATCATTGCCTTTCTCTCTATTGGATGATATGAATGGGAATAATTTAGAATAACAAGAGGTTAGTATAAATTACTCTTCTTACCCATTTGAGTATTTTATAGACAAAAGCTAAATTGCTTGGTCCCAGGGGATATACAAAGAAACAGGTTGGTTGACTTGACATAATTATCACATGAAGGTGGGAAGCTGATCTCATCCCCCGTGGACACCAGCCAATCTGCCTTCAGGTGACCCTTAATAAAGATTATAAAATGGTTGAAAGGGGATGGCTGGGTGGCTCAGCGGTTGAGCTTCTGCCTTCAGCTCAGGGTGTGATCCTGATCAGGGGATCGAGTCCCACGTGGGGCTGCCTGCGGGGAGCCTGCTTCTCCCTCTGTGTCTCTGCCTCTGTGTGTCTCTTATGAATAAATAAAATCTTTTAAAAAAATGGTTAAAAGTCTTTCCCATATTACAAGTTTGATAACAAACAGGATCCAATTTAAGTTACATACTACATTGTGATTTAGCCAAGACAACAATAGCTACCCTTTACTTACAAAAAAAGAAAGGAAGAAAGAAAACTAAGACATAAGGAGTAAGGATTTTCCAGAAGGCATATATCTACTTTATGCTCTATAAACTATTTTTCATTGATATTCCTAAACATGAGTATCAAATGGGAGATGGACTAGGAACAGAGATCTTGAGATGGAATTAGAATCAACATGGATGCACAAGTTATGTGTTGAGATATAAAATTCTGTATGTTGTATCTATTTTTAATTCAACATGCATTTATAGGATACAGTATCTACAATGCATATTCAGAAGTCCTACTCCATATAGGGCATTGAACTAAGTATTGAGAAATATACTGAGACAGAGACCGGTCCTTGTCTTCTAGAGTTCACCAGCTACTTAAAGTCCTAAGAAAAAGACATTATGACAAAAAGTCACATTATGTTCACTTCCATAAGAAAGACCTAAGGACTTATAGGTATTATGATTATGGAGTACAAATACTTTTAAACTGAGGTGACCAGAGCAAGTTTTATGAAAGTTAATCCTTCTGAAACTTTCTTATTCCCATCTACATGGGCTTCAACTATGGTCAGCAACTGCTGACATCATTTGGCCTCCCTTACAATTATCCCAAAATTTATTTAGCTGCTACTTTCTGTTATTCATGCATATGCTCATTCATTCATTCATTCATTCATTTATTCAACAAACATGATTTTGAGGATCTAAATGGCTTTCAAAGATGGAGACACAGCTAGCACCACTACTACCATGACAAGTCAATCCATGTGTGTCAAACAGCTTATAGTTCATTGAGGAACACTGAATAACCCTCCCTCCAAAAACATCAGGGCTATTAACCCAGACTGTGGCAAAAACTGTGAGAAAGATGAGCAGTGTACTTTGCTTTCACATGATATGGACACCAAGCCAGACTTGGGAGGCCAGTAAAGTTTTCCAAAGAAAAGTAGTATATAGGTTTAGACCTAAAAGATAAATGAGGGTTAGTTGGCTAAATGGGTCCAGAGAGGCACGAATAGTAAGAGGGCTCAAGAAATTTTGTCTAAATTATAGCAGAAAAGGCAAACATGATAAACCTTGCTGGTGTGGGTTGAGTGATTCCAGGGTTTTGAAAATCTTCTGAATTTCTTCCCATCATCAGATACTCCCATCAGAGCCCAGGTCTTGTTGGGATCTTTGCAGTTTTAAATGATTGTGGAGAACATGGGAAAACACATGAATAGTGAAGCATTTATTTTGTAATAGAAAAGAAAAAAAGGCTTTTAGAAATGCTAAAGGTAAATTATTAGACTGTACAGCACTATATGAGCAAAAGCATTTTGTCCCAGAGTGAGGCAGGTGACGGTAAAAACACAGATCTATAAATTTTTATTTTCCTACAGCATGAAACCACAGAATTGTAGAAAGACTTTAATCATGAATAGATCCTGTCAGTTATGTAGACAACCTTGAGAATTTGTGGATCTTAGTGCCTGGAAAATCGCTTTTAAATAGGAGAGATAATCTAATTTAGGTATATCAGCCCTTGTGGTGAAGATAACACTCTGAGTTTACCACACAATTTTCTCTCCCTGGATTTGCTAAAAGACTACACTCGCTAGCCTATCTGAGGTTAAATTAGGACTGAGTTTTATTGGACTAAGTTTTGGCCAATGGGATGTGAGCAGTAGAGACATAAAGCACTTCTAAGCTTGACCTTTAAAAATAACTCATATATTCTATACCCCATTCTCTTCTTATGGTGAGTCTGGAAGACGATATTCTCATGGTAGTGTAAAGGTAGAAGCAACTTGAATTATTGAATGATGGTTTCAAAGAACCACTAAGTACAGCCAACCTCCATCAGGCTATAACTTGTGCAAGCAGTGAATGTTTGTTGTGTTAAACCATTGATACGTTGATAATTTATTATTGAAGCAGAGCTTTATCTGTTTTGCTGAATGTACTTCTCCTCCTAGACGTCTTCCCATGCCTTCCTTTGGATTTCATGGGGTCATTTATGATACTAAGTCTTGGTAATGAGAGTAGGCATCAAGAAAAGTTGTTTTTTATTTGTTTGTGTAGGTAGAGCTGTGAACTGAAATGGAAATTTTCAAGATAGGCCAAATGAAGATGAGTAGGTTTGGGGTTTACAAGTATGAAATTAATTTTGGGCATGTTATATTGGAAGGATTTTTAGCTTTATATCATGGATGATCTTATAAATATCCTTGAGGGCAAGTATTGTTGTCTCACATATTTAATTCCCTAGTGTCTAGTATCTGTATGCCATTTATATTTGTTGATGGATTGGTTCCTTCATTGGATCAGTTGAGTTCTGGCGGAAATTTTCTGACTCCTTGAATCAATGAATTCCTCTGAGAGCTGTGAAAATGCTTATTCTTTTTGTGACTGGAATTGCCTTGAGTTGTCCACACACTCAAAGGAAGTAGCGTGTTTAAATCACAATAGCCTATTTATTTTCTTCAACAGTTTTAAGCAGCATGCTGTCACTCTTTGTAAAGATATTTCTCATTAGGTAGATTGTAAAAGCCAACACCAAATGTCAAATCCAAGTTTGTTGCACAAGCAGTTTGGAAGGTCAGAATGATCTCCACAAGATGCATACCAGCAGCTAACTCAATTTTTGATTTCCCCAAATGACTTTTCTTGTGAAATCTGGTTTTCACATCTTCCCATGCTTTTCCCTAATGGCCTGCTTTTATATTAGAAAAATAACCAAGAGAAAGTAAGAAAAGTTATTGTTTTTATTTTTCTTTGAAATCTCTTAGATTGTACCTCGGTATTTTTTCCTAGAAGAGTATTTTGCATAGAGTAGGTACTAAAGTATTTGTTGACTTGTTTAAGGTCTTGGTTTGAACTGGAAGGAAATTTAGGGATCATCTAGTCCAATCCTGTCCGTTTACAGATGAGAAATTGAAAGCCTAGAGAATTGAAATGTTTTGGCCAAGGTCACACAGCTGATCAAGTGCAGACCTGCTGCTATTACTAATGATGCTACTCCTTTAATTATGTGCATAACTCAACAGTTTCACAAAGCCATCATTTATCTCATCTGTGAGGTAGGAAACACAGACATAATCAACACTTTTGGTTTTTTAACAAAGAAGGAAATTGAGGCCCAGGAAAACCAAGTCAAACAGTTGAATGATCTTATTCATTTATTCCACAAATTTTGATTGAGCCTCTATTATGGGTCAGGCTCTGTTACTGCTTTGTTCTAAATATGGACAAAACAGACAAAATCTCTCTGCCCTCCTTTTATCAGGGAGAAAAAGAAGAAAACACTATAATAAATAATAGCTGAAACGAGAGAGCTTGTCTCCTGACTCCAATCCAGTGGTGTTTTTTTTCTCTGTATTCCTGTTAATTAATTAAAACCAATGAAATTTCTGATTGATCGTCTAATTCTCTCTTACCCAGGAAAAGTAACCCCTTTAAAGAATTTCTCCTGTGAAGAATGCAAAGCATTTTAGGTGCAGCAATAATAAGAGGGCTTCAGAGAGTTATATAATTTTATGTGCTCAACAGAATATGGGGAAACATCAGTCCATGTTCTCTTTTTCTCCAGCTTTGAGATTTATGATTGGTCTGTTACAATAATAATAACAACCGAATATTGGCACAAGAAATATATTTGATTCAGTGGGTAACATTTGACAGCCTTAACTTGTGAAATGTAGCAAAGTTCTTGCAGGAAGCTCCGGCAGAATATGTAATACACAAGAAGGTATTCAGGGAACAGGAAAATAAAATCAGAGGAACCTGCTACCCAATCTGTTTCATTAAATATGAAAATTAAAATGCCTTAACAAAATGCTTTCTCTTCCTCTCTCCTCCCAACAAACAAAAGCTTTGGTAGGCAGCCTGAAATTGCTCATCAAGGAAAAAGACCAGACTGATTCGAAATGGCTTCTTTTGAATGAAGCAATTAATGCTAAAAGGAACATGTTGTCTCCTCAGCATTTGTAAGGTAAAACATTCATTGTACTTCCTGGCACTCTATCAAGCCTCTCCTTGGCCTAAGCCAGTAGAGAAATGGTTTGCTGCTTGTGCTCTTGACCTCTGATAATCAGGAGGATTTTGGTGATAAACTTGACAGCAGTGATTCTCCTTAGGACTAGGAATGTGTCTGGGAACTATATGCCTGGATCCCTCGTTCTCAGACCCTGACTTACTGGCTTTGGCAGGTCCATCAAGGCTGGCATCCTCTCCATTTACAAAATAGAGATGTTACCTTTTGATTGTTAGGTTTTGAAATGCGGTAGAGTAATGCAACAGAGTATTATCTTAATTGTATTTGTTCTGGTGATTCAGCTTTTCCAAGAACATTGCCTTCTTAAAGAGACTTACTGTTCATTTGCTCACTCACTAATGCATGCGTTTATTCAGAACACATCAATTAATGAGGTCCAGCGAATCCGAGACTATATGGGGAATGTTCTGGAGTAGGGACACAGAGCAAGACATAGCGCCCATCCTCAAGGAGCGCTCAGTCTAGTGTGGAGGGCAGGCAAAGATTCCTTATGATAATAAAATGTGGTGGCTTACTAGAGAGGCAGGTACAAAGTACATTGGGATTATGAAGGAGTGGTGGGAGCTCTCTCTGCACAGTGGCCTTGTAACCGGACTCTGCTGGGCCGGAGACATCCATGGCCAGGAGGGCTTGGATTTACTTCTGTGCAAGCCCTGCCACCCACTCCACTCAAATGGAGACTTCCCTTTCACTTGTTTCACATGTACCTATATTTTTTTAAGAGTTTTTTAGAACAAAGTATTTTATTTAAAAAGTACAGGTGAACTGTACGAATGGTTTCTATTAATTCATCTAATCCTCCATTAAATAATCCTGGTAGCAGGAGGCAATGTCCTCCTCATTTTACGTATGAGGAAAATATTTATCTTAAATAAACATTTGTTATTTCACGGTCAGTGCTAAAAATGGTGATCGTTATTTCTTCCTCCATGAAACCAACCTACCAAAGTATTTTCACAGTCAACTTGGGAAGGTCAGTAACTGGCATGAAACAAGACAAATATTTGTGGAATGGGTGAATGATGGCAGAGACTAGACCTATCTTTGTATAGAATACTCATTTTAAAGAAATTGTAGCATTTAGTTAGCCTGAAAGTGAAATACCTTTCTGCCAAAGCAATAATAGATCTTTGAATGAGATCCTAAGTGATTCATTTTAATTCCGTTTAGTAGGTGGTGACCTTTCAGTTACTTGCCCATGTTTAATTTTGTTTATACTTTTTGTTTTCCAATCTTGGATGGTGAAGGTAGATTTTATTCATTTAACTTCAGTGCAGCTATGTAAGGAAGTTTGCTTATACTCAAACAATAGGTATGACTGTTTTCAACATTTGCTTTATGATAATGTGGCATAATAGGGGGAAACCTGTATTCTAGAGTCAGTGACAGAGGTTCAAATTTTTGTTCTGCTACAAGCTAGCCCTGTAACCGTGGGCACATTTCTTTCCTGTCCTGGTTTCAGCTTTCTCAGGTGTGGAATGGGGTGCTAATCCCAGCTGACCTCCCCTTATTGTTGAGGATCAAAAGAAATGATCTAATTGAAAGTGTACTGTGAACTATAAAGTGCTGTATAAGTGAAGGTGCTTATTATTCATGGAGCCCTGGGCCTGTCAGACCATATGATCTTCTTCCAGGGTTGTTTGTTTACAGTTGATTAACATCCCCTGCAACCTGCCTGCTTTTTTGAGGCCTGCAGAGGGGCGATTGGCAAAGAAATAAAAAAGCTACAGCTTTCATGTAAACAACTCCTCTCCCACTTAATCCTTCTTTGGACTCCCTATTCACATGTCTTCTTAATCACAAGGCTCAAATGAAGCAGTACCTTCCAGTCCTACCTGAGGATTCTAGGGGCTTGAATCCTCACATTTCGGGGAAGATCACCCAACCCTCAGTTTGCAGAATTCCTCATGTCAGACCTTTTTTTTTTTTTTCCTTCTAGTTAGAGATTTCATTGCTTGCTCAGAAAATGGAGCCTTCTCACTTTTTAGTTTTGTTAGATTTTGTTTGATTTTAAAAAAAAAGTCTTTAACAATCAGCAAAGTGCTTCTGCAAGAAGCACTGAGGGCAGTCCATCTTTCTCGTCTCATATCAAATTAACTTTACTGACCAAGTGCAAGGTGGATTTCTCCCTGCTAGCAGTATAGGCACTGCTGATGCCTGGAACAGAGCTCCTTCCCCTAGTTCGCAGCATCATTATAGATAATAAAAATTCTGGAAGCAGGACTTTGCTGGCAGTTTTGCTTTGGGGATGATGCATGAGACGGAGAAAAGTCCATTTTGGGCTATGAGGTGCTGACACCAGGAAAACTCCTTGTTCCAGATAAAATAAGTCAATTTGACTCAGAAGACATGGAGAAGGTAGAGCTATACTCTTGTAAGATGGCATGACCTCCTTCTAGTATTAAATATATATCATTCTGCTTTCAGACTGAACTTGAAGTTTATGCTTCTCTCTTTAGGTGAGCGCAGCTGGTCATGGAACCAGACAATGGGCTGGATTTCCAGTTTCATCACTTATGAGCTGTATGATAATGGAGCCAATCCATGTTTATTTATAAAGTGGGGATAAAGATTCCTGCCTCATCACTCCCCAGGTATGTTTCGAGGATTAAGTGACAATGCATGTGTGTGATGCTTTCTGATTTTAAAGCATTTTCATGTGAGAAGTGGGCAGTATGTAGTTACACAGCCACATTTTAGGGGTTGCATTCTGTGTCTGAATCCTATTCCAATTATTTGCTAGCTCCATGACCTTGGACAATTTGCTTAAACTTACTGAGCACAGGCTTCCTCACCTTTCAAATGGGAATGACAGTACCAGAGTCTGGGCAGAGCAGGGCTGGGCGGTCCTGTGCAGTGTGGAGGTCTTTGGTGTCACCTGCCCACCACTGGCTCCTCTGCCCTGCCCTCACCAGCCCTGCTGCTACCCCTCTTGGTCTGCAGCATTAGCACTTTGGCTCAGAACAATGCTAAAATAGCCATGCTAGGAACTTCCCAAGGAATCAGGTAGCCCCTTAGTGAGCCCCCCTGACCCTCTATGATATTGCTCATATGCCCCAAGTAGCCACAGATCTGAGTCACATGGAGACCAGAGCAACTGTGAAAGAATGCCTGGCACCTGAGCAGCTGCCAGACTGCCTGAAAGGTTGCCATGTGGTGGTTATTCCAGCAAGAGCTCAGAGAAAACCAGGCAGGACACAGGATGGCCTGTTCAACACCAGTGCCTCAGCTGTGGCCAATCCTGGCGACTGCCTGCCCGGCATTGCCTGAGGCCATGATCTGTAGCATTGCAAATCCCGTTAACTCCACCATTCCCATGCAATGGAAGTTTTCAAGAAACATAGAGCATATCACCCCACTGAAATATCTGGGGTGACAACCCTGGCATTGTCAGAGCCGACACTTCTGTTGCAGAAATGAAGGGTTTGGATCCACCTTGAGCCAATGTTCCTCCCTGGCAGCCATGCTGGGAGGACCATCATCCCCCTGATCTCCCAGTGTGCTCCCAAGGTGGACTTTCCCCAGGACCAGCTGACAGCCACCCCTGGGAAGATCCAGGAGGCTCCCATAGAAATGGTGAAGACCAATGGTAGAGCAGGCTCTACCACCCTGTCCATGACTATCCTGGAGCCTGGTTTTTCTTCTCCCTTGTGGATGCAGTGAACAGATAGGAAGGAGTTGTCTAATGCTCCTTCCTTAAGTCCCAAGAAACAGACTGTGCCTATTTCCCACACCATTACAGCTGGGAGAAAAGGGCATCAAGAAGAATCTAGGCATCGGCAAGATCTCCCCTTTCAAAGAGATGGTAGCAGAAGCCATCCGTGAGCTGAAGGCCTCCGTCAAGAAGGGAGAGGTGATCATAAAGAACATGAAATGAGAGGGCAACTAGCGAGCAGTCCATTGCCCTAACTTTGGAGACATTATGTCTCTGTGAAGCCATCTCCCACCCCTTGGAGTTTCAGTTGTGGTAACCATGAGTGTCATGTTAGCCTCGTCATCCCTTCCAAATTGCCATCCCTCTGTGGGTGTGTCAAAAAACTAGGCTTTGATTTTCTTTTCAAAAAAAAAAATTAAAAAAGGGAATGACAATACCAAAGTTGCAAGGACATCAGGAAAGATTAAATGATATATGTGAACTGCTTAGCTGGGTACTTGGTGTGCGTGGTATGCACTCTCTAAATAACCATTTACTAGGTGTATCTTATTTGATTTCTACCAAATACATTGAGGGGAAGAACAGTTCTTATTCATTTTTTTGATTTTAAAGATTTTATTTATTTATTCATGAGAGACAGAGAGAGAGAGAGAGAGAAAGAGAGGCAGGCAGAGACACAGGCAGAGGGAGAAACAGGCTCCATGCAGGGAGCCCAACGTGGGACTTGATCCCAGGTCTCCAGGATCAGGCCTTGGGCTGAAGGCGGCGCTAAACCACTGAGCCACCCGGGGTGCCCTATTCACTTGGTTTTTGTTGTGAAACAGCTGGTAACCAGTGGCCCAAAGATGAAGTGCGTTACTCTACTTAACTCTACTTAAATCCAGCAGGAATATCTTATAAAGCAATGCATACATACACTTAGTGATTGTGAGTACTGTTGGATGGAATAAAATTGCATCTTCCCTTTGAAGCAGCAAACATCCTACCTGAAGGAAGGGGAAAGATGCCCTTAGGTTTCATGCTGCTGATTCATGGAAAGCCTATTATTCTCACTCAGGTGTCCCTAGAGCCTGGAACATGTCCTACGGAAGATCTTTACTTTTAATGTTTCTGATCTACCTCTGAGATGAAGAGAAGGGAAAGTGGGAGTCTCAACCAAAAGGGAAAATTAGGATACCCACGGGAAGTCTTTCTCGGCAGCCAGGAAGGCACTGGCAACAGGAGACCATGACTCAGATGCCCGCTCCATCAGAAACCAGAGTCCCAGAGGGCAGAATGCTGGAACCGGAAGGATCTCTGAAATCATCTGGGTGATTATATATGGGAATAAGCAGGAGCCATTTACCAATGGTAAAATTGTAGCTGCAACAGTATGTGCTGTTACCTGTATGCCAAGTCAGTGGCTAATCTGATCTGGGACTTGGGCCTCTTCACTCCCAATTTAGAAAGTGTCACCTTTGCTTTGGAGGCACTGTAGGAAATCTTGACATGAACATGACACAATCCTTACCCTCAAAGCCAAAAAGGAGATAAAGTGCAGACACATGTGTCTGTGACCCTGGGTACAGGTCTTACAGGTCTTAGACTTTTTTCAAAGTAACATTGAGAGTCAGAAAAACAAACCATATCCAGTTTGGAGAATCCGAAGTACAAACTCACAAAAGAGGTGGCCTTCATGCAGAGCCTTAATGACCAGATGGTATGCAAAAGAAAGATGTAGATCTAATGGACAGCCCTAAAGTAAAAAGATGATCATTTCCATATGAGGTAGAGAGAGTCTAAGTTATTTTTCTTCCCTCAGCCTCAGTTTCTCATCAAGAGACAGGAACAGGCATACTTCTGCTATGTGGTCCAATAATGTACATTGAAAGCATTGTGCCCAAATCCTCTTTTTCCCTCATTCCCTCCCCACAGATCCCAAGAGGTGGTCCATCTTCTGCACTATTGGTAGTTGTGATTTTTTTTCCCTTGTGGCTTAACAATTTGCATAACACTTCTATCACTGGGCTGCTGTAAGGGGTGGGTAATAAAAATACCCTAAAATTTTAAAAATAAATTTTGCACAATTGCAAGTCAGAGAGAAAATTCCTCTGAGTCATGCATTTCCCGTGAACTCCCTTTGCCAGAGTCAAACTCCTGTCATTGACTAACCTTTGTGTTTCTCTCCTGGAGCATGGGCTGCCATGGTGCTTAGGTGAAATTGTTATGCCAGAGGATCCTAGAGCTAAGAGCATCAACACTGTATAAAGAGAGGCTCCAGGAAGGAAGGAAGGAGTGTCTTTTTTTTATTTTTTTTAATTTTTATTTATTTATGATAGTCACACAGAATGAGAGAGAGAGAGGCAGAGACATAGGCAGAGGGAGAAGCAGGCTCCATGCACCGGGAGCCCGACATGGGATTCGATCCCGGGTCTCCAGGATCGCGCCCTGGGCCAAAGGCAGGCGCTAAACCGCTGCGCCACCCAGGGATCCCGGAAGGAGTGTCTTAAAGAAAGGGACTGACAATTGGAAATTGGGTAGAAGTAGGATTGCCAGATTTAGTAAATAAAAATATAGGATACCAAGTTGGTTTGAATGTCAGATAGTCAAAAATATGAGTTTTAAGGGAAGTGTGTCTCAATTATTACATGGGGCATATTTATAGTAGAATGGTTATCTGAGATTCAAATTTAATAGGGTGGGACACCGGGTTGTTCAGTGGTTGAGCATCTGCCTTTGACTCAGGTCATGATCCTGGGGTCCTGGGATCAAGTCCTACATCAGGCTCCTAGTAGGGAACCTGCTTCTCCCTCTGCCTGTGTCTCTGCCCCTCTCTGTATCTCTCATGAGTAAATAAATAAAATATTAAAAAAAAACCACACAAGTTTAAGAGGGTATCCTGTATTTTATCTGGTAACCCTAAGTGGATAGGGCAATATGGTAATAAATATAATATATTTTTAAAGAGTTTCTAGTTTTAGAAGTACCCCCAGAACACGCATAAGCAGCACAGTCAGTTAAGCATCTGACTTTTGGTTTTGGCTCAGGTTGTGATCTCAGGGGTCCTAGGTGGGATGGAGCCTCAAGTCGTGCTCCACGTTCAGAGGGAGGTCTGCTTAATATTCTCTCTCCCTCTCCCTCTGTCTCTTCCACTCATGTACTCTTTCTCTCTAGAATAAATAAATAAATAAATAAATAAATAAATAAATAAATAAATAAATAAATAAATATTAAAAAGGGGTGGGATGTGTTCAGGTTTCTTTAATTTTGTCCTCACATTAACAAAAGGTAGGTACTGTTCCTTTAGTTTTAGACATGATGGAAGATGAGGTTCAGAGAGGTTAGGCGACTTACCTAAGGACATGCCACAGATGGTAGCAGTGTTAGCATTCGAGCTCAGTTACTTGGTAAGCTGCTTATTTTGAGATAATTTTAGACTTACAAAAAAGTTGTAAAACTAGTAGAGTGATCCTGTATACCCTTTAGGCAACTCCTCTTTACATTAACATCTTAAATAACCATGGAACAATAATCAAAACTAAGGAATTAACCTTGGTACGGTACTATTCACTAGAGTACAGACTTTATTCAGATTTCACCAACTTTTCCACTAGTGTCCTTTTTTCTTTCCCAGGATCCATTTCTGTTTCCCACATCACTGTCAGTTGTCATGTTTCCTTAGTCTTCTACCATCTGGAACAGTTCCTGGGTGTTTCCTTGTCTTTCATGATCTTAACACTTTTGTTGAGTACTGATGAGTTATTTTGTAAAATATCCTTCAGTCTTGATTTGTCTGATATTCTCTCAGGATTCTATTGAAGACATTGGGAAGGAAACGACAGAGGTGATAGGTCCTTCTCAGAGCATAACATGTGTATTACATTGACATGTTCTATTGGTGATATTAACCTTGATCACTTGCCAAAGATGGCATCTGCTGGATTTCTCCACTGTAAACTT